TTATCTATTTGCTTAAATGTGGAAACAATATAGTTTATTAGATCATCAGTTGTTGTTTTGTAAAAAATAATCAATTATATTCATAATTAGTTTATTGATTTATCAAAAATCCAAATAACTTTACAGAGTTTCCTCGTGTGTGACCCTATATCTATTTTGTTTTTGAAACAGCTGATCTTCGAACTTAAACGATGATGTAATATTGATAATCAGAGGTCTTTTTACCTTTAATATTTTCGTTTTATTTGCTGTTCTTATAAATTCAGTTAACAAAATACAATTATATTGGGTTATCTCTGTTATGTTTATTAACAATACATTACGTCTTTAGTAAGTTAGATAAGACAATAATCTATCAAGTGAGACCTCCTTTGATGCCCTCCAATAAAATAAATTTAATTAAAGTAAATTTTTTCAAAATTTTGTTTATTTCTTAATATAATATCAATAAATAACTATTTGACTGATTAGGGTATTACAAAATTTTCAATAAACGAATTATATCTTAATATGTTATTTTTTTCCGGAAAGACCAACAAATTTCTCCCCTTTATTTTTCACTTCAAGTGGTTAGCGTAGAAAAGTGCGATGTCCTTTAATGCAGCGTTTTCCAAACTTATTTTTCCATGGCACGGATATTATTGTGCTTATCCTTCGTGACCCACTCATTTTTTTATTAAAATTTTTTTTGGTGTGTGTGTGTGTGTGTGTGTACAAGACAACATATTTAAATATTTATTATAGTTTTATATATTTTAATAAAAAATCATTAGCTTAAACAAAAATGTAATAAAACAAAATAAAAATCAAATACTTTACTAATGGAAAGTATGAAGCTCTTTCTAGTTATAAAAACTTCACGTTCCGAAGAAAAGATGTTAATTTTATTTTCAGATCCGGTTCGACTTCCAAACAGTTTCCATATTTATTTTTAAGGAAAACCAGTGTTAAAAACTCTTCCTCCCACTTATAGGTCAGAACGAAAGGAATTAGAAACTTTATAGCTTGTTCTGCTAAAACTGGGTACTCCTAACGGCAAGACAGCCAACAATATATCAGTGATATTTTGTCTAATATGACATTGACTGCCCTATTACACGATAGTTCAATTACGGACTCAATATCTCAATCCGAGAGGCCATTCTCGGATTCTACGTTCATTGTAAATAAATTCCGTATCCATGCTTTGTTGCTGTCGATGGGGAAAAAATTCCCTCCGATTTGCCTTGAGTCCTAGCCGGTGTTCCTTAAAATCCAGTAAAATCTCATCTTGCAATAAACTCACGTTATAGCCTTTTTGCAGTTTTGTTAGCTTTGTAATTTCCTGCTTCTGTGTGACCTGTTCACAAATTAAGTTTTTTTGTTGCAGCTTTTACCTTCTCTTCTACATTAAATACAGTTACATTGCTACCTTGTAATGTCATATTTAAATTTTTCAATAGGTCAAAAATATCACAACGGTGAGCTACCTTGATTAACCAGTTGACATCATGAGAACTGTCTTTAAATTAAAATATTGCATCCCTAGCCGTTGGTGGATGTCGTTCTAAGAACAAATGAATTTTTTTCTTTCAATTCAATAAATGTTTCTTTAAAACATTCCCTTTTGATAGCAAACGCACATGGCAGTATAAAAAAGATGTTTATGTTCACTTCCCATTTCTTTGCACGAAGCAGAGAATGCTCTTTTTTCAGTGGGCGTGATTTTATTAAGTTTATAAACGTTACACATTCTTGCATAGATTCAGTTAAAAGTAGTGGTTTTTTGACTAGTAGAGGTAAGTAGAGGTAATGTAATTAATCAGATTAAATATTTCTTTATCCGTTGTTCTTGTTGACAGAAATATACAAAACAGAAATTCTTCGTGAATAGCATTTTCAAAATCGCATCCTACAAAACACATTACTTTTATCATCAACTTGCAAGGAAATATAGGTTAGACTCCTTTAAGTGACCTATAATAGTTTCTTCAATATGACTTGTCATCTCCACAATCCTACGCTTAACTGTGTTATTTAAGGCCAGTGTTATTTATGGCCAGAGCCAGCACTGGCTTTTCCTGCTTTTTATCACATATCCAAGATACTACTATTTTTATTGCTGGAACTATTAATTTTTTAAACTTTGATGGTATACAAGGCAAATATCGAACACAGTAATTAGTTAAATGTTGCCCAAGTACTTTCGATTAATAGATCATCCTCAGGGGCATCTGAAATAAGCCAAGAAACGTTTTTTTATAAAAAGGAAAATTAATTCACTTCGATAAAAAACTCGAAGTTTATGGTTGAAAAAAGTTTTTATGTGATAAACGTTTATAGACTTACTTCGTCAGTTGTGGCCTATCCGACATGAGCAGAATGTCATACATGTAAATTTGGACATAACAATACAATACACAAAGACAAACAAACACTTTAAAATTTTTAAAAATAGAGAAGCTACATGTTATATAGACAGAATGGCTCCCGGTGTAGCGGAAATAATGAGATAACATGTGACAAATGACAGCTTGTAATGGGCAGTTAAAATAGATATGTGATCTGCACCTTTTAAAATTCTATGAAACTAAGTATTGACCAAAGGTCCAACTGACACCACTATAGGAAATCAACTGATGAAATAGAAAATTATATAGTATATTTTTTATGTAGATTGAATAATCCAAATCTCACACTCAAACCTGTCTATATAATGGATGTGAGTTTGAGAGCAATTAAGTGACATAAGTATGATGTAAAAAAGACTAAACAATATAGACAATGAAGGTTGACTACAATAAAATGGTCCACCAAGCGCTATCAGTACTGTAGAAAAGGAAAAATCTGAATATGCAGTTAAATTACTAAAAGTTAAAATCAAAATTGAAAGCAAAATATATAAATGGGTTATAATCCAAGTAGTTCAGTTGAATCCACAGTCAATGGAAGAACTTTAAAATTAATATCGAAATGCTCAGTGCATGAAGTCTAAACAGTCGAGCTGGGTCCTGAAACTGTAACAACGTTTTTAAAAATAGGATTAAATTTAGTTCAATTTAAATTAATTTGAGTATTAAGACAGTGAGAGTTTTCATGTGTTTCCCTTGTAATCTAATATATATATAATATATATATATATATATATATATATATATATATATATATATATACATTTATATATATATATATATATAATATATATATATATAAATATATATGTATAATTATAATACATATATATATATATATATAATATATATAATATATATATATTATATATATATATATATATATATGTATATTATATACATATATATATATATATAATTTATATATATATATATATATATATATATATAATATGTATATATATACATATATATATATATATATATATATAAATATATATATATATATATATATAATATATATACTGAGCTGCAACTATACCACCCTCTTAGGTTTCTCAGCCAGGAAATGGCCACAGGCCAGTGCCATATAATATTTCGTATGTCGCCAAACGTTCATTAATATTGCAAATACTGTGTAGTATTCATCCTCTTTTATTTTTTATCTCGTGTGTTAGGATTCCATCAACTCTATTTTGTACTCAGCCAGATGTCTTTTTAAGTCCATTAGGTTCATTATTAACGAAGATACTGTGTAGTGCCTGTTTAGTAGTCGCCTAGTTTGTTTTTCCTTACTTAATATATTCGGAATTTCCTTCCCTTTCATTTGCTGTCGCATGTTAGGATTAGTTCAGTAGTTTAGTTTGTACTTAGCTAGAGGCCTTCTTTAAGTTAATAAATCAAAATTTGTCTTTCAGTTAAACTACTTTTATCCATAGTGCCCAATGACATCTCGTATATAATAAAGAAACTGTGTAGTGCCCTTTTGGTAATCGTCTTGTTTATTTTTCTATTTTAATATATTCGTTGTATTCTTCCCTTTCATTTAACGCAACACACGCTCCAGTCGGACCAATAACAAGGAAGATATGATGCTCATCTATGTCTCAACATATTCGTTGCCCCCCTCCTTTCCGATGATGTATCATGCGTCACAATTTGACGAAATGTTCTACTCACACCACAAAACGCTAAAAAACTGAGCATAATGAACCTTAGCATTTTCTTATGGGATTTTACATGAGACATAAAGCGGAATAGCAGCCTTTACAGCCTAGCAGATTTTACAGGTATAGCATTTACTTAACTTAATTTAATTTTACTTAATTTTATTGAATTGTTAGGTATTTATTTTTACGTAATTTTGTTTTACTTGATTTAATTTTATTTATATCCTATTTTCATTTATTATATTTATTAAGTTCTCTCTAATATTAATAATTTTATTTAATTTTGGTTAATTTTATTTAAATTATATATATATAATATATATATATATATATATATATATAAATATATATATATATATATATAAATATAATATATATATAATATATATATATATATATATAATATTTAATTTAATTTGATTTTAATTTTATTTTATTTTAGTAAAACGTTGATGTTTGTTAAACATTTAATTTTAATAGTAAGTGTTTATGTCTATTTTACCCAATGACTTATAATAAATATATAACAAAGGTCCTTGATGTTACCTTCTAATTACAGTACACTATGTTTTTAGCAGTTTGGTGAGCAAATTAATTTCGAAGTAGTAAAATTTCTGATTGAGAATATTTGAACCATCAATTTGTAGAATAAATTAGCAATAAATCAACCGTATCGTACCAATAGCAAAATATGATTAAAATGTAAGATGTTTATAGTTCACATTTCTTTCTTAGGTGTCGTAGTTACATTACTGGACAAACGGTGTAACTTGTCATTCTAGCCTTTTATATAGATATATTATTGCAAAAAGCTAAAATGCGGTCCTGAGTAAATATAATATTATCTTGTTTTAACAAATTAAATTAACAAACTGGTCAGCTTTGATACCTATATAAATTACGGTCTACACTTCAATTAAACTAAATTGTTTGTGTATTTGTTACTCTTAGAAAATACCCACTCTTCTAATTCAAAATGAAACCTGTATTTGTTGCAATTTTTATGGTCATCGTTGTGGCTGCCGTAGCTGGTAAGAATAATAATTTTAACCTCTACTTTCTTCAGATCTAAATTTTATATATATACAATTGAAGTTGTTTTTCAATGTTATAAGTATTAATATATTATTATTCTATAAATTTTTATTCCACTTGCTCTATAACGACTCTGACATTATTAACCCGTTAATTTTTTCAACCCTAAATTTCATATATTTTCCATATTTTTTGAGTGAATATGGATTGGAATTGACTTTTTCAATATTTATCTTTGTAAGTATGTAGATTTGTAAACTGAATGCCTTTTTACCTTTCTTGAAACCAATTGTGAATTATAACTTCTGACTTCTCCATCGTGAATTCATCCATCCATCCATTCATTGAGTAGATCTACTCTCTACTCGCTTCTAAACTGTGCTTCCGTTACCCTTAGATCTTATATCTTCCTTGATTAGTTATTCCTAGATGGTACTTTTTTGTGTTTAATAATTTTTGTAACCTACGTTGTCTTCTCAACTTACAACATTTGAATCACAATTTTCCATTTTAACTTTGTATTTGTTTCTTTACTGTCTTTTTCTTTTCTTCTTTATTCAGTCGTTTTTTTTTATCTTGTAAAAGTATCCAGTTCGCTCGTTTTATTGCTATTAGTCTCACGTAAGTCTTAACGTTATTTCCTTCATTATATATAATCACACAGATCGGACTAAGAGTCTGGAAAATTCTAAATATCTCTAAAATCTCTCTCGTCAATCCTGACCCCCCAGGGGGACTGTAGTGGTCGACGTGATGTCGTGTATTGTCCGTCTTTAGAGATCTCTGTCTGTGGTCATTTCTTTTAATTCATGCATAGGTCTTTGGCATATTCCTGTAATTTGATCTATCCATCTTGTTGGGGATCTTCCTCGTGATCTTCGGCCTTCTACCTTTCCTTGTATTATGAATCTTTCCATGTTTTCTGTCTCTCCGATTGTCTCAGAGTCCAAGATTCACATTCGTAGGTCAGTATTTGGAATATTAAGCAGTTGATCAACCTCATCTTTATCGCTCTTGAAATTTGACAGTCCTTCTATATTTTGACCATTTTTGCTGTGGCAACTTTTGCGTACCATCTCTAAAATAGATGGTACGAATTATACAAAAACCAGGCTAACCTGTTGATATTTGAACCGTTGCCACATTTAACATTTTTCTGATGTCATTAGTTAGTTTGGTTTTTTTAAGTACAACACCCTGTACATTCTACCTGCACTAAAATCTTTACCTCAATGCCAGTTGAATCGTATACAATACTTTTGATTTTATGTAGTCCGAAACATCTTAAAAAGATAAGAAACAAAAGTCTAGAAACGCCCAGAAATGCCAAAGAATCGCAATTATGTTTTTTATTAAACTACGTACATCTAAATATTAACATACTAATTAACAGTTTACTACATTGAAAATAGGTAAAGAAATAATAAATAAGACTTACTTACAATCAATTTAATTTAACTATCAGACAACCGGTTTCGCTTTCTACAATATGCAAAGCATCCTCAGGTCTCGATACAAAGTTAAACAAATGCTAAAATAATAAAAACCCATATTAGGGTGTTATCTAATAACGATAAACAAAGTAGATGTTGTAAATTACAATAATTATGCCAATATTACATGTCTGTGGTTTTATTTAAATGAGTAAGTTGAATAAAAGTTATAAAAGTTTTAAAAGTTTAAACAGACAAGGTAAGGCCCACAATTTTTTATAAAATAGTCTCTTCGATTGTAATAAATTATTAAATGAGCAAATAAATAAAATAAACATTACTTACATGCCGGTACTCTATTATTTGATGGATTGTAGAATATGGTTGAAATTGCTATGAATTGTTGAATGGAGAACTCAATTCTATTATTGCAGTTGTTTGACAGTAAACGGGAAGTTCTTGAGGACCGATAGATTTGATACAATGAAGAAGAGATATGTGTATGATTGTTTGTTAAATGAAAGTGATGTAATATACCATTGTGTTATTAAAAGTTATTTATACTTATTCGAGAGATATATTTTTGAAATGTGTTTCATTTCATTTCATTTAATACCTTCTCCCACAATTACAATAAATTAGACCATACCTCTTTTCTATTTTACTTCCTAAAGGTGCTGAGTCTATTTTGACTTTCCAAATAAAAAAAATTATTCACTAAAATTCCATAAAATCAGTTGGTAATATGTGTAAACAGAAAACTTTATTAATAATTTTAGGAATATAAACGAGTTAGAAACATATATTATTACAAATAAATCCTTAAAGACGAAATATTAAAATTTGTCTGTTAATTTTAGATGCCACAGCTTTACTCCAATGCGGTGAAAACGAAGCACAAGGATGTGAACCCTGCTGCCCTCAATCAGAAGTTACTTGCCAAAACAAAGTAGCTCAACCATGCGATAGACCTTGTGCACTAATTTGTAGATTTAAATGCGTTTGTGCTGCAGGATACCTCAGAGATACCAACACCGGAAAATGTGTAAAAGATTGTTAATATTTTAAGTTCTATATTCAATACTATCATAAAAATAAAAATGTTTCTTAAGAAAAATAAATAATTTTAAATAATCATAATTATCTTTTAAAATTTAATCCCTTTTAATAAAAATTTAATAAAACTGTAAAAATCCCACAGGAATGGTTGGTGTCCAACTTTGTAGCAATACCAAAATCAGTATATGCCAAAGATTTTTTAGACTATAGGACAATATCACTAATAAGCCATACCCTCAAAATATTTCTAAAGATGATTTATGGAAGATTATATAGAAAACTAGAAGAGGATATGGATGATACTCAGTTTGGGTTCCGCAAGGACTGGGAACGAGAGAGGCATTGTTTGCTTTTAATTTTTTACTCTCTCAAAGATGCTTAGATATGAACCTAGATATTTATTCCTGTTTCATCGACTTCGAGAAGGCATTCGACAGGGTCCGACATGAAAAACTAATAGAAGTACTGAGAAACAAAGATATAGACAGACGAGACTTACGAATCATTATCAATCTGTATTGGAATCAAAAGGCCAATATAAAGATAGAAGAACAAAAGTCCGAAAATATAGATATAAAGAGAGGAGTAAGACAGGGCTGTGTTCTGTCACCATTACTGTTTAACGTGTACAGTGAAGCCATATTCCAGGAAGCGATAGCGGATCTGGGTGATGGAATCTCTGTAAATGAAAGAATAGTAAATAACATAAGATTCGCTGATAACACCGTTATAATGGCAGACACCTTGGAATCGCTACAAGAATTGGTAAATAGAATTAACGATTATTGCATTAGATACGGACTAAAAATAAATAAGAGAAAAACTAAATTTATGATTGTCTCAAAAACGCAACATGGAAATGAAAGATTAATGATATAGCAAACCCAAATAGAAAAAGTAGTGAAATACAAATATCTTGGAACCTGGGTTGATGAGAAAAATGACCAAAGCAGAGAAATCAAAGTCCGAGTTGAAGCTCCAAGGCAAGCATTTATGAAAATGAAGACAATGCTTACCAACAGAGACCTTCAGTTGCATCTCAGATTGAGGGCTCTAAGATGTTACATATTTTTTATCTTACTATACAAAATGGAAGCTTGGACATTGAAGAAACAACACATAAGAAGAATAGAAGCGTTCGAAATGTGGTGTTACAGAAGAATGCTAAAAATTCAGTGGTTTCAAAGGATTACCAATGCTGAGGTACTACGACGCCTAAATAAGGAGTTAGAAATTATGAACAGCATAAAAAGAAGAAAACTAGAGTATTTGGGTCATATAACCTGAGGAGAAAAATATGAACTGCTGAGAATTATTATGCAAGAAAGGATCCAAGGAAGAAGAAGTATAGGAAAAAGACGCATCTCCTGGCTGAGGAACCTTAGAGAATGGTTTTAACTTTAGTTCACTACAACTTTTCAGAGCAGCAGCCAACAAAGTGACCATAGCCGTTATGATATCCAACCTCCGATATGAGATAAAACTTTAAGAAGAAGAATAAAAATTACCAAAATTTTTTGTTAGAGATTTTAAAATTATCTTTTTATTTCATCTTGTGCAATATTTATTAGTTTGAGCCAGTTCAGACTCAGGCTGAAGAGGCGCAAACTAAATATTGTCCAACAAACAAAAAGAGTGAAAGACTAAGTCAACCTGTGAAGATCCTAATAAGTAATATATAATATTAATAGTATATATAATACTAATAAGTCGAAAGATGAAAGGAGATAACAATATCAGCAAAGAAACAATAAATAAAATAACTAAGACGATGGCAACGGCAATAAGAAAATAAATAGGAAACTCCAAAGTAGAAAAAATCTAAACAAGCAATAGAGAAAAATAAGAACATAATGTTTTGAGAAGGAGCGTGTACAAGGGAAACATGGATATTAACAAATTAAGAAATAGAGCTGAAGATAAAACTATAAAGCAAGATGGAATATTAACAATAGGCAATGAGTTCTACATAGAGCTATTTAGATGAAGAGAGAAAGATAAGAATATTTATCATTTAATTAAAATAAAAACTAAGGTTTAATACCAGTCAACCACTGTATCATTCCAAATCTAATGTAACTTACTGTCTTTAGCTTGAGTAATGTTATAATCTTATATGTATAATGTAATATTCCAGACATTTTTGTACTCCTGTCAATGGCCATAGATGTCGAGACACGTTAATTTCAATAAAAAAAATACCAGTAAACACAAGATCAGATTTAATGCCTGATATAAAAAAATAGAAATCAAAGAGGCACTGATGAAAATAAAAAATAATCGAACTCCAGGCGAAGATGGAATAGTGTCAGAAGCAATACAAATTAGGAGATATATTACTAGAAAAAATTAAACTTCTTTTGGATATCTGCCTTCACAGCGCTAATATTTTATCAGAATCGCACAACGCTACTATGATTCTATTACATAAAGTTGGAGATAAAACAGATTTAGAGAATTACAGACCGATTTGTCACCGCAACCATAAATATAAGTTGTTCACGCGAATAATAAAGAGTAATAAATAAGAGAACGGAAAGGAAATTAGAGATCATCCAAGAAAACCGATAGGATTCCGAAGAAATTACGAAACTAATGACTATCTACAAAGCATAAAAACCCCAAAAAAGAATGAAGTGTAATACAATAGACCTTCAGTGCTAATATATATATATATATATATATATATATATATATATATATATATATATATATATATATATATCGATTTTCACATAGCCTTTTATAAAGTTAAGCTAAGAAAAATATAACAGGAGAGACCCTTAAAGAATTCAGGCTAGATTATAGGTATACAATATATACTTACAGGCAACAACCACTGTCAAAATACATACTAAGACTAATAGCATAAAAATCGAGCGGGAATTAGACAAGGAGACCCAATGTTGTCTAAACTTTTTAATACGGTGCTGGAATATGCTTTTAAGAATTAAGATGGGTTAACAAGGGAAATAAAAATAGATGACGAATATCTAAACAACATACGTTTAGCCGATGATAAAGTCATAATTGCTGAGGATCTAAGAATTACGACAGAAATGGCACAGGAACTAGTTGTCGCTACAGAAAATGTAGGTTTAAATATAATCATATTGAAAACAAAAATAATGACCAATTTGGTACCCTACCAGAAAATCAGTATTGGCAGGCGGGAAATCTTATTCTTCTTCCTTTGCCCTATCCGTTTCGGACGTTGGCTATTAACAAGGCTATTTTGACTTTGTTTACGTCACCTCTGAACAGTTCGGTCGATGTTAGTCCGAACAATTGTCGCAGGCTATGCATCCATGAGTGTCGTCTTCTTCCCGGTCCCCTCCTACTGTCGATTCTTCCTTGACTATTAACTGTAGCAGCCGGTACTTAGTATGCCTCATGACATGTCCGAAGTACTCAAGTTTCCGTTTCTTTACGGTGAAGATTATTTCTTTGCCTTTGCCTATTCTCTGCATTACGTCCACGTTAGTGATGTTGTTTGTCCAGGATATCCGAAGAATACTGCGATATATCCACAGCGAGAAATAGAACTCATAAATAAATATAAATACCTAGGATATGAAATTATGATTGACAGGTATAATCAGACTTAAGAACTAAAGAAAAGGTCTTGGATGAACAGAATCCGGAAAATTGAGAGATATTTTTAAAAGTGAGCTACCCACATACCTACAGAGAAAAGTATTTGATCAATGCGTTCTCCCAGCTTTGATATATGGAGCAGAAACACTTACACAGAACTTATAAAGAAACAAAATTAAAAATGAAGAGATCATGAGAAGAATTAAGGTTACTGATGTCATCGAAAGAATAACCAGACTAAAATGAAGATGAGTAGGACACAAAGAAGATATAGAATGGAGACCAAAGGAAGATAAGAGAAGTGTCGGCTGACGATAAAACAATGCTACATAAAACCTGAATGAGAGCAATGCAAAATAGAATTATGAGTTCAACAATGGACTTTTACAGTGGCTGATTGATGTTTTTTTACTGATAATAAAATTTTATTTTTAAGTTCTTGTCTTTTTCTAGCCCACATAACTATTGTAGCCTACATATTTGTTACTCATCGATCCAATCTTATGGATTCAAAATTCTTGGCACTTTTTTATTATCTCTTTTTGCACTTTCGGGAAGTTCTCCTAGTTATCGTAGCATACTCTCTCAAACTCTTGAGTGTCATACGCCTGATAGAATAAAGTATTATTAAGATATGATTTCCTATTATACTTATGTCTCTATTTTCATCTATCTTACCATTTATTATCAATTGCAACTATTCATATTCCTTATTTCCAGTGGATATTAATATATTACAAGTATACGCACTCGCCGCAGATAAAGAAAATATTAAAATAAATGGTTTTACCAACTTATATCAGAAGTATTAGTTATGAAAAACAACACAAACTTAATGATGTCATGAGTAACTTCGATGCAGAGCTAAATTCAGAAAATACTCTACTGGAAAAATTGGAACATTACAAAGAAATAAAAGAGGAGAACACTTGGTGCAGTTTTGACAATAGGACAAATTTGTATTTCAGAATACTTCAGAATACAGGTTGTTCCTATCAAAACCAGGTATTCTTCTCAAATGACTGTATACTTGAATGTCTACAGATAATCGATGAAAATTTTAAGAAATTAAATTAATTATATTTAATTGTATAATAATCAATGAACGATTTAAAAACTGTACAATATGAGTAAAGGTATACCCAGGTGCCGATGTTCAATCAAAAAACAGTAGTGTGCTATTATCACAGTTAACCTAAACAGAGTATGTAAAATAAAAAACTCCTACAATATCACCAGACGCACTAAGACCCATACACTCTAAATAAGGTCTCTTAACAACAAGTTGTACACAATTAGATTAGAAGATACCAACAACATAACTAGACTTCGGCAAATATGCAAATAAAAATGTAGAAAATATGCGCGTAAATATGCACGTGTTTACCCGAAAAGATGCAAATATTTTACAAAATATGCATACAAATAAATAAAAAAATCGTAAAATAGTAACAATTTTATTTAAAAAAAAAGTGTAC